ATTAGCCTTTGCTCATTTTAAGATATTTGTGGTTGAAAGCAGAGTTGCTCATATATATGTATCATGTAGTTTCTTAAGAGAAATCACAGAAGAACTTTAAAGTCAAGCACTAGAACACTTAAGAATAAAGACAGCACAAGGTTTTCCTGGGAAGCTGTTGTGAAACTGGTCTGAGTGGAACACCTTTGCCATTTGGCAATGGCCTAGGATGACCAGAACAGCTGAGTTGTTTGGAAACTCAGAAGTGCCCTGGGTGCCTGTTCCTGCCTCCTCAATACCATCCAGTGGCTAACGGAAGATTCTGAGTCCTCAGACTGTGTCCTGTCTGTTTCTTTGGTCAGTGAGGACCAAGTCTGGCAGGCTGCTCGTCCATACCAAGAAAGGAGGCCCAGAATTGCCTTCCTGCCTAGGGATGCTCTCTGGAGGCCTGGAGAAGTCCTGGGTACTTGTCTACCAGATGAACAGCAGCCTTTCTCCACTAACTCCTGATTTGCTCAGCCCTTTGGATCAATCTTTCTCCTGTTTCCTCAGTGCAAGGAAACAGGAGAAAGATTGCTAGGATGACAGCTGCTCAGCACCTAGTTTATTTGAATGGGGTCAGCTTTCCTGCATTAATTCTTATTGATTCTTATGATTCCATGTCACCTGATCCCCATTCCCTAGCTCTTGCCTGGGATCTGGCCCCAACTAGGCAGCTCACCTGGAATCACCCTGCAGCCGCCCTCCCACATTCTCCCTGCAGGGTTGAAATGCCCCCCTCCCCTCGAAATCTATGTTACTCGTCCCCATGCTGGGGCAGCCTCACCATTGCTTGGCCCCACCCCACAGCTGGCCTCTGAGGTCCCAGCATCCTTCCTCAGGCTTATGTAGGGTACAGAGCACCCATTGGTGTGAAATTTCAAGCCAGGTCACCCACTTTTGGTGAGTGAAACAAGAGGTAAAAATAGATGAGCCTTACGTTTCTCTTCAGGTGTAACATTCCAGTGTCCCACAAAAAGCCTTCTGGTTCTAAACCCTATGGATTTCCCACTACACTTCCTTAACTATGATTTCCTGCCAAAAGGCTTCTGGTGGTTTCCCACCGCCTGTGGAGTACAGTTACTACATTTAGCATCAAAGCATCTATGGTGTTTTAACATTCTGGGGGCAAATCACAACTGTACTTTAACTCGTGCAAAGCTGGACACCATAACCCTGTCCTCCAGGCATGGGAGCAGCTTGCCATCGCTGAACCTGCCATGCGCTTTCCTGCCCTGTGCTTCCATCCTGTCCTCTGCCGAGAATTTCCTTCTCCTTACCCCTCCCCAGGCAGGAATCTACTCCTCTCTCCCAATGTGTCCAGTTGAAGTATTTCCAACCCACCCCCACGCTGTGCAGCTTCCGTGACCTGCAACTCAGGTTCAGTCAGACAAAATTACATTTAGCACTACCTTATAACACCAGCCCATTAAAATTAGAATTTTGACATGTGCCTCCCCTACTAGAGTTTTTGAGGGACTAGGACAGTGTAACACTTTATCTGTATAGCACCAAACCTTGCATAGCACACAGTAAATTGGGGGCACACAGTAAATATCTGTTGATGTGAACTGAAAACTGTACTTAGGGATGTGTACATCTGTCCTTCAGGCTATCAGAGACAACAGTTACTGAGTAAGATTAGAGCTAAAAAAATTAATTAAACAAATTCTCTGCTGATACATGTCTGTTGATAAGATGTGCAGTTAGAAAACAAGACTAGAGTGAACTAACGTTTTTAAAGAGAAGAAGGGCTGAGAGGAGAAAAAGACTTCTCATATATTTTCCTATTTACAAAGGAATTTTCTAGCCAAGGAGAAAACATTGGTTCAACTTGAGATGTTGCTGAAATTGTTCCTTCTCTCCTTTTTTTCCCTCTAGTTTTCAGAGAACCAGTTCTTATTTGAAAGAGTAATATATGTGCAAAAATGAAGACAGCCATGCCGTGATATATCAAGAAAGCTACTGAGTGATGACAGCTATGCCAAGAGAAAAGCATTACATAATGACATCAAAATAGGACGCTTGAGGAATGTCTTAGAGCTTAAACAGCTGTCACCTGGTATTTTGGCATTCTTGAAGTACATGAAGAAATAGCCCCTGGAAACTGAAGAGTACAAATTATTTGCAACAACAAGATTCTGAGGTTAAGAATATGTTTTCCTCATCTTTCTCTCCCTCTCTCTCAAAGTTAAACCATTAGTGCCATTCTCACTTTAGAAAAATATGAAACCCTACAATATGTATAATTCCAAAATATTGCATACAGGTTGGTTTCAAAGGAAGAGAGAGGCACTCCGCAATTACCAGGTTTTCCCAAAAATATTTCTTCATTTGGAGATGCTTTCTATTTTGTGGACTATCTAGATCTTTTATTTTTATGTATAGGTCATTAAACCCATCCTTAGGGAACTCATGAAGGATGAGATAATATGTGACATTTAAATCTGTCAATTTTGCTGCTGGTAAAATGTCTGTTAGAAAAAAAGTTTAAAACCCTGGAATTTAAAAATGACTGATAGGTTTAATGTGTGTTTTCCTTATTTCTTTACCTTCCAGTTCAGTGAGATGCTGTTGCAACTTTGCTTTCCTCTAGGGTTGCTTCTTTCCTTTGTCCACTTGGTCTAAGTGGTCAGTGACACCTTCTCCAGTCAGTACATATTTATTGTGCACTGGCTGTGTGCTGGAGCCGGGGCCATGATGTTGGGAGGTGCACTCTGTTCTCCAGGAACTCCCGGGCTGTCAGGGGAGAGACGAGTGTGCTGGTGGCAATTGCAATGAAGTGCGACTAGGATAAGATGTGGCTAAACTCTGGTGCCTTGGGAATACCATGGAGGAACATACTAGCAGTCCACCCGGGGTGGAGAGAGGACAGTGGGAAGGATGGGATTGGAACCTGGGACAAGAAAATGTGAGGCATACACAGAGAGCTCTGTCTCTGAGGTCCTGTGATCCAGTTCTGCTATCAAGAACCCCGTGTTTCTCTTATCAATTTTTAAAAAATTCATCAAAACAAACAAAAAAGGAGAAACAAATCACCACATTTTCAAGAAATTGTACTATCTATCTCTTTCAACACCTTCCAGACATCTGTAGTAACAACTGCTAGTCAAAGTTGAGCAAAAAGCACAGGGGTAGGTTTTCCTGGATCATTTTCAGGCCATCAACTGACAGACTCACAGAATGTTAGTGCCCAAACAGCACTAAGATGTGATCTTTTTTTTTCAGTGCAAAACCTCCACAGGGGAGGAAGCTCAGAGTCAATGAAAAAATAACCACTAAAGGATTAGGAATATTTTTTTCTTCATATTTCCCTTCTTTATTTGGTTGCCCATGAGGAGACAAGAATACGAACCTTTAGAGGAGCCATTCCCTTTCCTAGAGGGATTAGGGCTGATGCAGCTGAACACTGTCAGGACCAAGAAAGGAGCTGTCAGGGTGGGAAGACTGGTTACACACAGGGCAATGAGCGAATAAATAAAGAGTTTGAGAATAACAGAAAGCACGGTTAGTGAAGGGAGTTACAAATGTGGAAAAGGTAAAAAGCTAGAATGTCTATGGCATTAGATTGTAACTGGAGCTATCAATGTGTGCTTTCACTGTATGTAACAGAGATAGAGAAACAGAGATGGCTGTGTGTGTGTGTGTGTGTGTGTCTATTTCCCAGTTCTTTTGGTTGAGAGAGCCTGTAAGCAATGGGAACATTTTAGGTCAGTGAGCACACTCAATGCCCAGATCTCCATTTCCATATAAGGTTTTCCATAAAGGACTCAGGTCTTCCAGAAAATGTGGTTAATTCCAGTGCTCAGTAGAGAAAGTATAAAATGCACTTGGAACATTTTCTTGTGCCAAAAAGCAAGAAAGTGTTCAAAGAACACAGCTTGAAGGGGCCCCCACTGGCCAAATCAGATAATATAGGCATCAAAATAAATAATGATATTAATGTTTTATAATCTACTGACTAAAATAGGAATCTACAAGTGCATATTGACATAAATAAATACAAAAATAAATAGGGAGAAGGGAAAGTTCTTCCTGCGGTAAACAGTTTATTTAGGAGCAATATATTTACATAATCTAAATGTCTTTCCACAAAATATTTATTAATTGCAAAGGAGAGAAATCTGGCAGATGCCACCTTAACCAAGTAGAACTGGTATGGACCCAAACCATTTATGAGTCTCCTGATACGATTAACCAAGCATTGTTTCTTTAGTATTGCTGCAAAAAATGCACAAACTCAGTCTTATTATGTGGAAACATCACAAAACCCTAAATTAAGGCACATTTTACTATTCAAAGTTGTCAAGTCACAAAAGACTTTAAGGAAAGGCTGCAGAACTGTTTAAAATTAAAGGAGACCCTTGACAACTAAATATAACATATAATCCTAGACCACAGAAAAAAGTATTTTTTCCCCTATAAAATATATTATTGAGACATTTGGTGAAAAGTGGAATGGGAATCATGGGCTAGAAATTAATATTGTATCAATGTTAACTTACTGAATTTGATTGTCATGCTGTGGTTATGTAGAAGATTGCATTTATCTTTTAGAATAGTAACACTAAAGTATATAAATTGATTCCAAAAAATATAAACACACATATATCAACATATATTGGTTTTCTTATTTGGTCACCAATACAGGACTAATTTAAAGGAATGCTGTACAGATTACATAAGAATTCACAGATTGAGCGCTGGTCGGTGGTGGGTTTGTCTGGCAGAGAACTTGTACCTAACGAGTGACTCAATCCACGCTTGCTGAAAAAATGAGCAAGTTCCTTTTTCCTGCCCCTCCTACTCCAGTTGGACCAAGCGATGGCACTTAGAGAAATTTAGATTCTTCACATTTTAGCAATCTAATGTGTGAGATTTCTCTTAACACCCAAATAAGATAAAACAAACACTGGAATAACAATAAATACCACGACACATTTGGATGCTGCTCTCAAGTTTGCTCAGCAATTGGTACTCACATCTCATGTGACAGTGAACGGAACAGGCAAGCATTCAAGTTCAAGTTCAACACAGTGTTAATAACAGCAACTCTCTCCAGTGCCTTGGGTTATGGCTGTCAAAGAAGAGGTCATGCCCTTGTTACTTAAAAAATCTCAAGCAAGGCTGCATCAGTTCATGGTTGCAGGGTACAGAAGGAGGTGTAATTGCATGTCCATCTGGGCCTCTGTTCCTAAGATGCTGGCACTGCTGCTTGTTTGTGATTCACAGTATATCTGGGGCAGTGACAGGGCAGAGAAGGGGACCCAGGTTGTGACTGGGAAGTTTCTTCTCTCAGCCAAGATGTGCACATGAATTTGAAATGACCCAAGAGAGTGTTTCAGAGCTGCCTGCCAAAGAGTGGTGTCTTCCAATCTGGAGAGCAGCTGCTGGGCACAGGCATGCAAACACACACACACACACACACACACACACACACACACAGAGCCTATACCTGCCACTACTTGTCTGCTCTGGGCAGATGGCTCCTGGCTTTTGGGTCACCTCACCCTGCAGCCCAGTCCAGGTAGGCCCTTTCTTCCGTGGAGACTGGCAAGCCGTGGGGTGAGGGATTTTGCAAGGTCGCCTATCTTCAGAGTATGAAGGACACTGGCCGGCGAGTGAAGAGGATTATATTTAGTGTTTGGGCCCAGTTAGTGTTGGGCTCCCCACTGCCTCTCCTTTACAGAACTGTTAGTGGCCCCTGGTTGCAAATACTCTGTGGCTTTGAAGCCCCCAGAACGAAAACTGAGAGAGTGTGCAAAAAGAAAAGAAGCAAACATTGGTGCTGGTCCTTGGATTCCACTATTGGCTTTTGGTGGGAATAAGAGAGGACTGCTGGGTGTGATCAAGCAAAGGTGCCTGTGTGGTGAGGTAAGTGTCTCAATTGCTTCTGAGGACAGACTTTGGGGATGTTTCTGTGTAATCCAACATCGGGAATTGCCAACACTGCTCTCCAGGAGCAGGATCTTCTGGATATAATCAAGGGGATGCAGTAATCTCAGGTATGATTAAGGGCTTATGATGATAATGATTTTTAGACTAATATGAGTAGGAGCGGCTTGCAAAATAGAGCTATGCTGACAGTTAGTTTTGCCAAAATGGTAGGCATGCAAGAAAACCAAAATGAAATTTTAAATTGTTCTCCTTTTAAGAGTAAGACAAATAGTTAAAAAGTTAAAAAATGGTTTGGCCAAATAACTTTCCTTGTTAATAGCTTGATTTTATAAACTGATGGAATGATCAACATATAATTTCAGAACCATCACAATGTGATGAAAATGGAGAATTATACTGGATAGGCTAGATTGGAGAGGAGGAATTCTCTTTTCATGGAAAGACAGAAGAAACTAACATAAAATGGCAACTAGAGTGCATTTTCTTTATTTTTGTTCCCATTTCCTTAATGCTAAGATTTGGTGAGTGGGAGACAGAGAACAGAAGCAGACTTTTGAGGCAGGGTTTTTGGAAGGTCCTGGGGGGTAGTGCTGGTGGTTAGCTATCACCTCAAAGAACATGATTGGATATCCACTGCACATCACAACTCAATGTCAATAGGAAATGATGCTGGATTGCGCCAAATAATACCAGAGAAAGTTCTGCTCATTGTACTTGCTCAATGGGAGTATTAGTCAATGTTTAGGGTGATTGCATAGTTTTGAATACTGGAGCCCCCGTCAACAGACAATATAAATATGTCAGCTACAATACTTGACATAATCATTGATATTTCTCTTCATAATGACAGTTGATCACATATTCCCCCCCTCCCCCCGCCCCAATATCTGTGCAAGTCTCAAGAAGGATTACAAGAGGTGCAATGCAAATACAGGGGTGGGCAAAAGTAGGTTTACAGTTGTGAGTATGTAAAACAGTTTATTCGTGTATTAGGAACAACTAATGGGTAAAGCGACTTTTGTCCAACCCTGTATTGCTTAATTACACTCACCATGCTCCATGTTTGCACCAGGATTGTATAAAGGTGGGCATGCAATATCATACTACTGGAGAGAATTCTCTCAAGGCAATATTCCTCCAGCTGCAACAAAAATGCTTTTCCTACAATGACACTTTCTATAGGTATACCTTGTTTTATTGTGCGCTCCTTTATTGCACTTTGCAGATGTTGTGTGTGTGTGTGTGTGTGTGTGTGTGTGTTTTAAAACAAATTTAAGGCAAGACCCTCCACCAACGAAAAGATTACAACTCACTTTAGTATGATACTTGCTTTATTGCAGTGGTCTGAAACTGAACCACAATCTCTGAGGTGTGCCTGTATCAATTTTCTATGTCTCAAAAACAAATATTCTAAGTAAATATATCTCCACAGAATCCATTAGTTGACAGTATTATGAAACTCTCATAATATTTAATTAAAAATCAGCATAAATAATTTAAGAGCTATTTGCTACTAAAACTTTTTGAAGGCAGATAATGTTTAGGGTTATTTTTACTTTTTTCAAACAAATATGTAGAGCAATTAAGGCAGGTCTACTCTGAGACTTTTCCAAATAATTTCCCAAAGCAATATGGGTTTGGGTTTTGATGATAATCAATGCATAAAAAATTGGCAAAATTCTGGGACAAAGGAAAGTATTGATCATAAAGAAAGAAGCACAATTTTTTAAAAAAGTTTAGTTTCCAAGGGTGGGAAAAAACTAAAAGTAAAAGGCCCTGTATTCTCTCTTCAGAACAGAGTTCATATTATTCTTTGTTTTAAAGCAAAATTTTCATTATTACTGAAATACATGCCTTGTTTCTCTAAAATGTTGGATTAAAACATTTTTTTTAATATACTTTATTGATTTTTTACAGAGAGGAAGGGAGAGAGATAGAGAGTTAGAAACATCGATGAGAGAGAAACATCGATTAGCTGCCTCCTGCACATCTCCTACTGGGGATGTGCCCGCAACCCAGGTACATGCCCTTGACCGGAATCGAACCTGGGACCTTTCAGTCCGCAGGCCGACGCTCTATCCACTGAGCCAAACCGGTTTCGGCATTAAAACATTTTTAAAATGGTAAGTTGCTTGAACTACTGACCACCAGTATTTAATAGCAATTCATGCTGAGCACAAAATTAGTTTTTTTTCCTGTTTCATTATAATTAGGAGAAGCACTTTTATAGTAAAGGGCTTAATTTGTTTTCTCGTTTGTTTATTCATTCAGCAAATGTTTTAGAGTGCTTACTATGTGCTGGGATTTTTGGGATGCAGCAGTGAATTAGGCAAATGTGGTTTCCACATGCCGAGTGTAGGAATCTTCACAGAGGGTCCAATTACTGGTGATTTGAACCTCTGTATTGCTCATATTGTTTACCATGTAAATAAGTGTTTTCTCCCTCATTTCTGATCAAAAGGAAACTTAAGGACGCCCTCACCCCCAATTATGTTTCTCAACTTTATAAAGGTTATTTACTGTCTGTGAGAATTGGAGACAAGGCCACAGACTAAGTAATCAAATAGTCAAGTTCAAATACACATTGTAGTGCAAGTGCCTGCGCCTACTTGAAGGATGCTGACATTTCTGCTGTTCTAAACTACAGATATTAGAGAAAAGGCTCCCATCCTGGTAGGTTGTTCCTTCAGAATTGGGTCAGACAGGAAGTCCCTAAGGAAGACATTGGAACAAAGTTGGTACTATAGTCTCATAGCTATCCCAGATTCCCATGTGATGGAGGTTCGAGATGTCTCTGTCTGATCTGTCTGAGAGAACTGGGCAGTCATTGGAGGCTGCATCTGAAAGAGTGGCCGTCATGTGTTTCTCACCGTGGTGGAGGAGATGTTATGAGGGCATCAATCATAACATCTATGACATTTTATGCCTATGAAGTGCTTTACATTGTTTATGGAATTTCAGTATCAGTCACTCACTTGATCCTATGGTTGCCCCACGCAGAAGGAAAGGCAGGTATTATTCC